GGAGTAAAGTTAAAATTTCAGTTGTTCGATGCAGTGAATTTTTTGGCGCATTTCAATAATTTTGACGTGATGAAGTGAGGAATAATTTTTAAATGAACGGTTAGTTGTACAACTAACAAGATCTTTTTTTTTTTTTCGTTTAATATATCAATATATATGTCATATCTACTATATGCTGTGGATATTTCGTGATGCAAGTGGGCCTCTCCAACAACAGTTATCTCTCGACATCGCCCACTTTTTTGTGTGTGTGCACGACGCTTGTGCTAATGAGTCTTCTTGTTATCTGCTGACAAGTTTATCACCTTCACGCGGGGGGTCTGAAACCCACCTTCTGAAGCCCTTCTTCTCTGTGCCATTAGTATTTGCAATGACGTATGCACGTTGTTTGGTCTGTCCGCACCTGTTCCTTTTACAGCCAAAAATAGAATCTTGATTCGTTTTGGAGATCATTGCGAAAAAGTAGCAAGAAAGTTGCGACGGCTAATTTCACTTCTGTCTTGAGTTTGCCCGCTCGCTGTTCATGGCCATTCAGAGCTGAAATAGAATCGGCAGGCAGATAGGAGATGCATTGTTCTTAAGTGGATGGATATTTACCATGATTTCTCCTGAGTGAATGTCGTCTTGGGTTTGTACCTCAGCCCCTACTCTGTAATTCTTTGCCTTTAAATCTACTATAACTGATTGAAAATGATGGAAAAATTCATGTTGACTGTAAGAATATTACTCCTTATTTAATTTTAATTTTTCTGTTGAAGTGGAGTGCTAATGCATGAAATTTATGTACTTTCATAAAAATCTTCATTATTGCTGCGTGATTTGACGGAAGGTTTGCACTGACGCACTCAACTTAATATTCTTCCTTGTTCTATCAATAAAATAGCGATGTAAAAATTTCTTTCGATCTTTGTAAACCAAAACTTGATCCTCAATCTTTTTATTATACGAAACGCACACTTTTTCTTGACGCCATTGTGTAAATTCAAAAGGTACTGATTATTGTTCTCATGAATATCCTTGCACCTGTATAACTGCTTCACAACTTCTTTATCTGAGCGAGCTTTAATTTGATCATAATAGTGCGCTGTATCGTCGCCGTTAGTTTCTTTCTCTAGTGAGACGGCGTTCGCTTCTCTCCGCATGACCTTTCACCATTCGGTTGCCGCTTTGCTCGGGGCCGCGCTGCCATTTTTTGGCCGTATTTTGCCTTTCTGACCATCTGGTCAATTTTGTGCCCCACCTTGGGATTATTGACTGTATTGTCCTCTTGTTTTTAGTGCTATGATTTACACGGCTTTGAAAATGGATACCGCAGGCCACTCTTACTTTCTAAAAGGCTTGTTTTTGTGGATGTTACAGCTGTTTCTTCTGTGTTTCTTAAGGAGAATCACTTCAGTTTTTCTCTTACCTCATCATGGTTTGCCTTCGCTGGCGAGTTGCGCTGGCGTGTTGACGAGGCTGGTGCTGCAGCCGCCTGGCCTAATCGCTTACGATTATCGTTGTGCTGATTTCATCACCCAAGTCGATCAGTTGTATTCAAAGCGAAGCTGACTTGCTGGATTTAGAATGTTTGATTGCGCCCATGTTGAGCCATTTTTCTTTGATCATATGAAGGCAAAAAAAAAGTTATTTGCAGCGCTTCAGTATTAATTGGAGGTTTTAAATTATATTGAACGTCATCACGTTTCGTTTTTTTTTATTAATGTAGTGTACTTGTATTTCAGTTCTCATTTAATTGTCGAAATTGTAAACTTCCTTCATCACTCAGCATCTTTTTAAAATAATTGGTAAGAAAGTATTAAAATTAATTGCATAATATTGCATATTATTACATGTTTTCCTATTTTTTTTATTCTCAGGATTTATTGTAACTTCGTTCTCTAGGGGTACAATTTGTATTTGAATTTCGTTGAACAATTTTGAACCCAAAATAAGTGCAAGCAGCTAATTTGACGAGAATAAATCTTGATTGAAACGCTGACAAAATCAAGTAAATTGTAATTGCTCCTCGTTTTTTGGCATTTTTTGGTAATGTATTTGTACAGAAGTAAATTTTGTGAGTAATGATTTGGTTTGTGAAGGTGCGGTTCTCATACGGTATTAGCGAGCAAGGCAATAGAGTGCCTCCAATTTATAAACTTGCCTCCTTTTATCGAACATTCCACTCACGGTGGAAGCTCGGCTAAAACACCACGAGAAATGGCTCTCGCTATCAGCTCCCTTGATTTAATGCTTCTCTGTGGAATTTTCGTGGCGTTAATCAATGACTGCGGTGGTCACGTGAAGAAGTTTCCCCTCGTCTGCAGACCCCACATGTACTAGTCACCTGAAAGTGTTTCTGTAAGAATAATAATACTCATGTCGAAATATTTCAGCCGTGATATAAGTGCCAAATTTTGCCTTGTTATTTATGAATTATGTATGCATTTCTGGGAAGATTGGACCCATTGGTCCACCTGCACGGAATAATTAATTTTTAATGGAGTGAGATTTTGATAATTGGAAGGGATAAATTTTGTGATTCAGTATAACTTTGTCATCGCTAGTTATCTTCCTCAGCACAGACAGCGACAGCATTGGCAGCAAATACTAGTATATTTAATATTGAGAATGATTAACGAACGAAACTGCAGACTAATCGTTTAGCTTTTACATCTTGATGCACTGAGGCTTTTGAGCTGTCAATGCTCACCTTTAATTCTGGTTTGTTTTTCTGACCATTCCACTGAAGTTTGTCAACAAATTCGTGATACAATTTTGCATGGCTTTAAGCCTTGCGGCACTCACGATGGGAATTTTGTAGGTACTTTAGGAAGTTTAGAGGACTTTACACTGGATTAATTGCCTACTTTACTCTGAAAGACTCTTTGAAGCTATTTTTATGTGAACGTCTTAGGGAACGTACAGAGAACGACCCTTCTTCTTTGATGATTATTTGTTAGTTTATTCTTTTGCAAAATTCTTTATATACGTTTCTCACATAATGAGCACAGCTCTTTTTGCGATCCGAAACAAGAGATTTTTGCGTTAAATTGATTATTGTTAAATTGAGCTACAATATTTATTAAATGGTTTGAAAATGAAATAAAATATGAGCTTGGCTAAACGCGCAGGAATCCTTCAAATTTGTACTCATTTTCACTGCTACCATAAGATTCTGTTATACTTTCTACTTCGGATCATTGAATTTTAAAGAAAAGTCTTTATTTGGATAAATATGTTGATTTTTTATGACATTTCACAATTATTACTTCTATCCTTGGACATTTGTCGCTTATTTATTATTGATATAGGTATTTATCTGCATTCCGTTCAATTCATTCATTTGGAATGTTATTAAGATCTTGTATCTTTTTTCATCCTGCCTCTAGATTTTCATTTCTTCTACATTGCCCTTAGGAAGATTGTCCAAATATTCGTCATCCTATATTTTATCTGCTTTATTTTACGCAGATGCTCGTTTCTCTCGAGATAGCCTCTTCATCAAGATTTCTATTTTCTGTTAGTCTTGTCTCACCGACTGTCGGCCTTGCCGGAAAATGTGGACTTTCAGAACTATTTATTACTGTTTATGTACGTGCGTTCCTGTCAACTCTAAAGCTTATACGATTTGCGATGTCTCGGGTACAATTTTTCTCGTGCTCCTTTCTGCTTTTCATTGGAACTCGTTCAAATTATTAATTTATCAAGAATGCGTTGTCCGTTGTATAAGGTTTAGATTTAGCTATGTTTATTAGCTCATTATGTTTATGGCTCATATATGTTTATGGCTCATATATATGTTTATTAGCTGCTTATGTTTAGGTCTTATAGAGCTCGAGGTGTCTCATTTCAATTTCACTCTGGTTTTTCTGCCTTTCATTGGAGCTCGTTCAAAATATTTATTCATCTGAGAGGCATTATATATCATAGATAATTTTTTTAGATATTTTTCCGAAAGATATTGATATTCGACACATTTCAAACATTATCTATTTACTCTATATTTCACAACGGTGGTCAAATACATCCAACTTCATTGTTAAGCTGAGTTAACGTAAACTCGATTCCTGCGATTGGTTATTTCACAGTAACACTCATGCGATGTAACGAATTTATTTCCTTCTCTGGTCATGTTATCTTAACAAACGAAATGCTAATTTTTCTTCCTTCTCCTCTCATAGTTATAACCATTCGCATTTATAAATCGGGTATGCATGCTGGCTCTCCAAAATGCACATCGACCGTGTTTCAAATCAACGCATATTCAAACAGCATCTGTTCAGCCTTTTAATAATCTTTATATACACTAGAATAACTGCACTCCTTACGTGCTCTACACGCATTTATCGTCTGTTGATTTGGACAAGCGATTTATTCGTGAATTCAATCTTGAGTTCCCGGTGCAAGAGCTGCAATGTGAGTTCTCGGTGCAAGAGCTGCAATACGAGTTCTCGGTGCAAGAGCTGCAATATCAAGAGCTGCAATATGAGTTCTCGGTGCAAGAGCTGCAATATGAGTTCTCGGTGCAAGAGCTGCAATATGAGTTCTCGGTGCAAGAGCTGCAATACGAGTTGTCGGTGCAAGAGCCCTTTGTGAATTACCGCCGGTTGGGTTCCAATTCGCATCTGAGGTATACATTGCTGCCATGAGATCGCGTGACAGTTGGTTGTGTCAATTTCCATTGAGCGGTTTCGTGATCATCTCTCGTATATAGGGCTTCCCTTGACGCACTTTGTCTTGGCTTGCCGTGATGCGGGCCATCAGTCTGGTGGTTTACTGGACCTAAAGGGAAGTAAATGAAATTAGTGCGTCTGATATCACCATCCAGGTCTCGACATAAAAGTAATCGTTATATCTGTCATAATCTGTGACTGCGCACCTTATCTTATTTGTGTTAAGGTTGAATTAAAAATTAAATTATTATAAATTAATTTAGGTTACAGCAGAGTAAGTAGAGGAAATAGCAATTCAATTTTTTCGTTTCATGTGTGATAACAGAAAAATTGCTTGTCTTGCAGTTGGCGCTATGAGCGGCAGAACGGCGGCTAAACCTCCTGGCGCTGGCATCAAGAAGGTAGCACCTCCAACAGTTCCTGGCCACCACCTGCAGCACGCTTCTCACCTGCAGCACCATTCCTCCAGCTCAGATCCTACAACTCCTTCCCTAACCCCCACTCACGGACCTGCCGCCCCTACCCTCATTATACCTTCTCCTCAATCGAACCTTCCCTCGCTGACACCTGACACTCCGACCAGCAGCACCAGTGGCGGCAGCAGCGCGGGAAATAACTACAGACACTCTGGATGTTCATTCCACTCATCCTCGACTTCTTCTTCAGGAGTTTACACAGACCAGAGGGCTTCCTTTAGCTCCTCTGTCAGCAGCTCTGAAGACGCCGTGAGCACCAACAGCAGCAATCCGCCTCCGTCGCCCTGCAGCCCTTCCTCAGGTAGGTTTTGCTTCCGACTCTAAAAATGATGATTCACCGAATATTGTTTTCTTTAGCTTTCCAAAATTTCGGGTTACAATATCTCCAGCCTTGAGTAATGTTCAAGATCAAGGTGCTTCGTGCTGAATGTTGAGCCACTCGCTGATAAGTGAGAGCAGCGATGTCAATTTTCATCACTCGCGCCATGTATGTTGTGATATATTTATTCAGGTTTGATTGCAGACCAGAACATGCTTTTTATTAACAATTCATTATTTATGATTTACTTTTGTTGTGATTTATAGGCATCTTTGGTGCTATTCTTAATATTTTCTGGCGTTGTGTAACTGAAGCAGCGTGTGAGTGCCTCGTGTGACTGCTCATACGTTATTAGCATCTCGGACTAAAAAAGGTGCAGACGCACTCTCGCTTTTCGGCGAACGAAACCCAAGCTTTTGACTTTGTGTTATCTGACGATAGTCGGTGAAAAAAACAATTTCTTTTCTGTCGTTTGTGCTGAGTAATGTTTGAATCTCTCGGATGAATCTGAAACTTTTTTCACTCAAATTATGATATATCTTGTAAATAAGGAGAGTTTCCTGTAGCAATTATAAACTTGTTTATTATTGCTCTAATGTTTGAAAATAAAATTTATTCTGGCTCTCGGAAATTAAATTGGATATTATAAACTTACGCATGAGTGCAGAAGCCATTAATTGCATCGCCATCTAAAGCTTGGGTCAAAATTTTACGATTCTTTGATGCTGTACGTCATCGACCGTGCGTGACAGAAGTCGTCTTTTTCATTGAATTCGTACCCATGAAATCCCTCGTCGCCTATTGATCCTCGAGTAAGTTTCTATCCGTATTAATTCCTATGCCCTGATGGTCACGATATTGCATCGTGACGCTTAGCTGGCGGATTTTCTCTAGCAATTTATGACCCAAAGAGATCTGAGAAAGGAAATTCTAAAACACCTGGGAACTAATGTTGAAGTTATCTGTTTCTATACAATATTGTAATGTCAATTCGCTCTTGAAATAGAAAACCCGACAGCGTTGCTACCTTTCTAAAGGGTTTTTTACATTTGCTTCTGCATGCCCTTAACAATTACTTTATTCACGTCGAATTAGAATGTAAAAGTAAAATTTATAAAAAATCAATTTTGTGAAGCGTTCACTATTCTGCAATTTCGTGCATGGCTTCCGTTGAACGCATGAGCGCGTCGCACAGCTGCTAGCTCACAAGAGGTCATCGTATGCTCGTGAAAATTACAGATGAATAGTCTGTGGGCATTGCTTGGTCCTGCGGTTGACCGCTTGGAAGATGACTAAAATTTTCGACGTTTCATGCTCGTTCTGCTTAAGTTTATGGGTTGTTCATGCTTGATTGTCAGTCACGCAAGTTACTGAATTGTGTTAGAGGTAGTTTCACGAACCCATGAAGGAGTATATAACCATAAATCGTTATTTATCGCACTAATTACGCCATTGGAAACTAGATTCCTTGATTCTACTTGCGACTTGTCATTATACTTCTTAGATGACGAAAGCAGTTAATTTGCTTTCATGCGAAATTCATATTGAAGTCAGAAAGGTCTTGAAAATATTATTTTTCTCAACCACTGGAGTATGAATATTGTGAAATTTGAAGCCTTATAGTTCGATACATACCATATTTCTTACCAATTCGTTAGTTGCATTATAAACACGCAAAAGAAGAAGAATTGCGCCTTTTCCAACGTGAGCTCGTTTGTACTTGGTGCATGCCCTCTTGACTCTGTACTTATCAGTATTGAAATGCACATTTTTAATAGCAGTTTTCCATGTATCTCCTATAATTGTAATAACTAGGACAATTTCTGTTGAAAACGCTCAGAGTAAGTGCACCTTTTCTCAAATTATAACTAACCAGTTTTGCAGTTGATGCCACCTAAGGAAAATAAGTACAAAAATGCGGTCTAGATTGAACTTTAGGTCGTTGTTCCGCAATAAATTCTGAAATATTATGTTCAAAAACACTTTTTTATGCTTGATTTTTGGACTTTTTCGCTTTGACATTTTCTAAAGATATCATTTGAATTGAAGCAGTCACGCACCAAGGACGAAGTGATGAAGCACCGGGGGGGACGGTTGTGTGTCCGAGAGAGAGGCTCGAGTGTCACTTCAGCTGCCAGATGCCGGCGACTCCCGCATCATTATCGTCAGGCCTATTGACTTTTTCTGCCTTTTGCATTCTTCCTGCTATCGCGGAGCTCTTTTAGTTATGTTGATACTAAAAAATGCTTATGTTACTAGTATTACTTCATGTCTTCAATTAAAGTTTATATTTTAGTTGTTCGCCGCTAATTTATTATAGCTCAAACTACAATTTTAACGTCTTTCATTGGATTTTCTGTCGATTCCGGTATAATTCCAGGAGTATCTTTTGTTCTTGCAATAATTTTAAAGAATTTTGCGCCCGGAATTCGCTACGTTATATCGCGTTTGGTTCTTGAATGAAAGTTTCTCCTCGGTTGGCTGGTACATTCTTGAACCTCTTTTCCGTCAGACCTGGTAAGCCTGTCTATCTTTGGAATTTCTAATACCCAGTCATGTGCTTGAGGACAAACCGTTTACTGTCGGTCTGTTCAGCCTTCTCCGCTTACACAGCCATGACTGACCGTCAACTTGAGACTTATGGACGATCTAAGATTTCATTTGGTACTATTTCCGAAAATTATCTGCCTGAAGCATTCGACGGTGGTAATGGTTCTTCCTCACTGTATTATGATGCTGTTCTGACGGAACATACACTTCAGTTTCTTCACGAATAAATTAAATATTTTAAGTCTGACCAGATGCCTTTAGTTCAGCCTTTGACATTTGTCGCGGGCTTCATTACTGTCACTTGGCTTGAATGTCAGGTTCGATGGCTAATAATCTAAACTTTTGCTTATACATCAGAAGTTTCCAATGTGTACTCCTCTATCAATTAGAGTCCTATAGGCAGTGTTGAAATGTCAGTCGTGTGCTGAACCTTTATTGGACTCTGATAAAAGATTGTGCACCGGTGGCACGTACCCAGCTTGCTCAAATTGATTATTATCGACCGAAGCCTTTGCTCAATTTATTCAGTTGATTCTAATTCAAGCTGAATTAATTTTTAGAACCCGGATTTCTAAACAAGTGCGCGTACATGTGACGAGTCAGCACAGATGCTGCAATGCACATTGATTACATTCTTGATCATTTTTGTTTTTCATGATAGTTCCGTACAAGGGATGAGCTTAGGCTGGTCACTATAATTGGTAGTCTCATTAGCGTGGCTATGCAGGCACCCGCACTCTGTCCCCTCTCATGATCCCGCTACCACACGTCGCCGAAACATGCCATATAGTGTGACCACGGTTGCCATGACGACAATATTTTTTGGTTTGTGGCCTCAGTCGGATTAAATTACTTGATTAGTGGATGTCTGAATTCGACTTGCATCGAAAGGCTATTATTTTATTTGAAAGGCTGGACTATTATTCGACAATTAAGCGAACTTTGTAAGAACAAATAAAGTTGTTTCGATTACTTTGAAACTCAACCAGTCCTAGCAAGGTTTTGTTGCATCTCTGGAGTCGGAACCTAATTCATGTTTTATCTTTAATATGATGCTTGCTCGTATTATTGAAACTTAAGAAATATACTTGACGTACTTTCATCCGGCACGTGTTATTAGAAGTTTTGGCTATTGAATCAATTATTGAAAAATTCGAGTCACTCGTATATCATATATTAGTTTCGCTAGTGAAGTGACTGCATGCCGACTGTTGTCTTATTAGCAGCGGCAGTGAGCCATTAAACCAGTTCTTGTTTAACCGTTGGAAAAAATGTTGCTGGTCGGTCTAGTCCCTTTAGTAGTTTATTTTCGTAACCAAAGCTAACTGGATGCCATATCTTTTACCGCAGAATTCTCTACATTTATTGTGTCTATGAAGGCATATGCTGGTTTTTCTATGGCTTGAATAATTCTGTCGACAGTATATATTTACTCAACGTATGATGCGTGAAACTCCACATGCACGGTGTTTCTTCATATGATTTTATTATTATTATTTTTATTAAGCTGATTTTTTTAGGTTATTGACTTGTGTGATCAAAAGTGTGATAATATTATTGACAGTCGCAGTCCGTCGTTGTAAGCTTTGATTTCAAGAGCGGCCTCCTCTTAGCTCGAAAAAAAACCTTTGTTCTGGATTTTATGACAGCCAGGGAGATGACCCGCGTTTGATAAGCTCTTTTTGTCTTTGAATTACAAATTTTTTCGTTTTTATTACTAAACCGCAATATATCAAGTAAGATGCGAGATCTTCTTGTATGACCGCCTTTGAAGTTGGCACTTAATTTTTGCCATTTGACGCCGAGCTGCATTGGTTATTGTGTTAACAATTGCTGTCACCGTTCAGATCGCTGGCTTGGACGGCCAGCTAGCTTAGCTATCTGGCGTTAACCTCGGGACTTGCAAGGTATCGCCCAAATTATCGTTGCACTGGAGGCCCTTATTTGGCTTCTACCTCATCTGATATCGACTCTTTTGTGGACCGGTGGGTTCTCTAGTGCACCGGTGTTATTTTGAGTTTTTTTCCCTGCCGTTACCTGTATGGCGACCACACGGTACTTTAAATTCGCGGCTGGCCGCAGAAATGGCGATGGAATGCCATTCATTTAAAGGCTTATTTTCATTTATTTTTTTGTAGAACAATGGTAATGATCGTAGTTCTCATCAAATGATTCTGATTATCTGAATACAATGACATTCCGAGTCATTGTACGAGTTTTAATTCATTAAATTATCGTTAGCCTTCATCTACCAACTGTGCAGGGTATTTTTTGTTTTTCATTCCTATTAAAAAGCATAGCGCGATCTTGGTTTATAGGCATAATAGATGATGATAAACGAAGCCAGTATGCTTGGAGAAAATGGAATAGAGATGCAGGCACTGCCATTGAGTGCTCTCCCTGCTCCCATTGAAGGTATACCCAAATAAAAA